GCGGGGCGATGAGCCCTACTTCAAGGGCGGAAATCCACCCAAAGATTACGGCATTCCATTCGGCTGGTGCAGGTTCGCTCTGAGGTAGGCTGAGTGATGAAAGGTAGCGTGCTACTCAACATGAGAAAAGTGAGAGAGAGAGAGAGAGAGAGAGAGAGAGGGAGAGAGGCTGATGGGACAAATGAAGATAAAGGGTCCATCAATGGGTCCATAAATCTGTAAATATACCTTAACGACACATGGGATACTTCCCCCCAAGGAGGTACACATATTGGGTTAACCACTTCCTTCTATAATGCTGCAGGATCGCACCGAGGTTTGAGAACATGATGGTGAGTGAGAGCTGGCACATGGCCTTCCACGGGACTCGGCTCGGCGCTGTACGAAGAATCCTTGACCACGGCGAGCTGCTGTTACCAGGTACATGAACATCCTCCATGTGTGCATAGTAGTGTCATAGTACTAGTACCAGGAGTGTATAATATAAATGATTTATATATAGATATATCTATATCTATCTCTATCTCTCTGTCTCTCTCTCTATATATATATAAAGTAGACTTTGTCTGTCTGTACTCATATAACTAGAGAACTACGCAGCCTAGAGGAAAACTGAAGCTATATACAGAATCAGCACGTCTGGGAGATGGTTCTGACAAAACAAAAATTTAAAAAAGTTAAACATTGAAAAAAAAAAATTCGTCAATAGATGGCGGTGTGTACAGCTTAATATTTTGGACGTCTCAATGATACTCTCAACGTATAACGCTTCAGCGGTCCAATGGATAAGGCATTGGTCTTCGAAACCGGGGATTCTTAGTTCGAGTCCCACCTGGGGGAATATTTTGTTTCTTTACTTTTTGACTGTTTAGTATGTACTTCTGCCACTTCACCGTTAATTTCAAAATTTACGAAATTTTACTACATTTAAAAGTTTAGTAAAAATCCAGAATAAACTATGGTAGATGATAATAATAGCGCAAACTGACGGGAAGACTTCACGGAAGCCTATGTAGGTTACAGATCAAATATATTTTAATTTTTATATTTTTTTATATCATATTTGTGAATGTGCCTCTGTTTGTCTGTTCTCGATGCAAATCAATACGGAGCACTCTAGAAATGCCAAAGACGTTCAGTACGGGTAAATTTTGGTGCTGAATGTGTTACTTAGCCACCACAAATAATTTGTGGACCAAAAAATATGTAGCCACCACAAACAGTTTGCAGATCCAAAAAATTGCTAGCCAACACAAACAGTTTGCTGTACCAAAAATTTCTTAGCCACCACAAACAGTTTGCAGACACAAAAATTTCTTAGCACCACAAACAGTTTGTGGACACAAAATGCTTAGCTTCAATTTGTGCATTGAAAACATTCTTAGACACCAGAGTTCGTGTGCCCATAAAATTTCTTGACCACCAGTTTGTGGGCCATAAAGGCCCATAATTTGGCTTCTCGTTTACTTGTAACTGATATACGTGTGGGTGCACGGTTTGTTTGTGGTGGCTTAACATCTCTACACGGAATTATTTATGGGCCTATGTAAAATTTCTCAACTGTTTGGCTCAGATTCCTTAAAATCATATAATCCATAATGTACTTTAATGTATTTTACTGTGCACGTATTGTTTTCCATTATTATTTATTATTTTTAAAGTATTATCCCTAATCTCTAAAATGCCTCTTTCAAAAGTGCCATCTACCATCATTTTCATGAAAGAATTTTGGCAGCACTATGCCATTGTTTCAGTCATTAAAATATATAGATGCACTACTTGCCCTGGTGTAATTTTTCGTGCAGGGGGATTGCGAATCCACAATCTAAGATGTGCGAATCGACTAACTAGTGCATACATAATTAGATACATAACTAGATAGATAGATAGATAGATTGATTGATTGGTCGATCGATCAATAGATAGATAGTTGGATATATATATATAAATATAGATAGATAGATAGATAGATACATAGATAGATAGATACATAGATACATATATACATAGATGCATAGATAGATAGATAGATAGATAGATAGATAGATAGATAGATAGATAGATAGATAGATAGATAGATAGATAGATAGATAGATAGATAGATAGATAGATAGATAGATATTATT